TATATGCGCGCACAGTCGGCGTGTTTTTGCATGGCGTGTTTTTGTGCTTAGTAAATCAACCCCAATGTCTTTATTTTGCTGCAAGGTTTCTAAGGCATTTCTTTGATCATGCGTTAAATTGTCGTTAGTAATTTTTTGAGAAACATTTTTTGAAATATCTTCAGTAACTCTGCATACAAAGTTCCAGATATTTATATTCTGTGACAAGGGTGGAAATGTGGTTGACCTAGGTTTAAAGTGAGGAGCCACAGTCCTTGATAAGTTCTCCTAATGGTTTGTTATTTTTGTCATGAATTTGTTTGAGTAATAGCTTTCTAGCAAATAAATTAACATCTTTGATTATGTCGAATTTGTCAGGGGATGTTTCTGGGCAAAAGGTTAGGCCTTTAGATATTAGATTGAGTTGGTCTTTAGAGAAAACTAGAGAGGTTAGGTTAATAATTTGTCGGTCTCCTAGTGGTGACGTTTGGTCATGTATTGGTCCCACATAGTTTTTTTGGGGATTAGATGCTGGATGCCTTCTAGATGTGGGGGTCCCTCTTTCACATTGAGGTTTGTATTTGGATCCATTGTGTTGGGGGCCAAAGGGTTGTCTTAAAAAATCTTTATCATACCCTGTTGCTCCCCTCTCGGTGTTGCTATCGGATCGTGAAAGATCTCTGCCTCTGGTCAATTTGACTATATGTATGTCTTTGGTTAGGAGTAGAATTGGGGTTTCTAGGGTTCTTGTTTCTATATCTGTTTCTGGGAGCGAGTGTCGTATCCCTTTAAGGAGATGGAGCTGGAGTCCTCTGCCGAAGACGGACAGGATTCTGTCCCTTCGGATATGGGACCCAGCCCCATCTCTTTCTGTGGGATTATGTTTAAAGGTTTGTGGTTTAAACTTGTCTCATCTACTATTTTTATTTTGATGTTCCCATCTGTAAGCTCGTTCCTGAAGGTAAGTGTGTTTATCCCTTTCAAATTTATGTTCTTTCCGCTCTACTAATTCTTTATTATAATTCTCTATTTGTTCTAAATTTTTCATGGACATATCAAACTCAGGTGACTGTCTAAGACCCTCCAATTCTAATACTAACTCTTGAATTTGTACATTAACCCGTTTGAGATCCTCTTCATAGTACTCTACCAACATTGTCAACATATTTCTACTGCATACATTAAAGTTGTCATATTGATCATATTGGAGATATTGTGCATATACCTTCCCTTCCCCGTTTTATTGTTAATGAATGTGTTACTGCAACTTCAATAACTCCAAGATGAATCTGATAGTGGCCAGAACCTCCCAACTCTACGTGTACTGCCTGAACCATCACTCCGATGTGGACCAGAGGACCCCACCGTACTAATATGACTGTGTGCCAGGGACCCCACCGTACCAATATGACTGTGCCAGGGACAGAGGACGCCACCATACTAATATGACTGTGCCAGGGACCGAGGACGCCACCATACTAATATGACTGTGTGCCAGGGACCGAGGACGCCACCATACTAATATGACTGTGTGCCAGGGACAGAGGACCCCACCGTACTAATATGACTGTGCCAGGGACAGAGGACGCCACCGTACTAATATGACTGTGCCAGGGACAGAGGACCCCACCGTAATATGACTGTGTGCCAGGGACAGAGGACCCCACCATACTAATATGACTGTGCCAGGGACAGAGGACCCCACCATACTAATATGACTGTGTGCCACTGGACGAGTTAATATTCAAGTCCTGTAAATTGCAAGGCTATAGTGCGGTCATGCTGAATGGTGACATTTTTGACTGACTGGTGAGACACCCTAAAAATTTTCCAGCCCTGTATATGATAAACAGAAACATTTGCTCTTTAAATGAATAGCTGCTGGTGTGCCCTATCCATAAAAAGGTTTACAACCACTATAAAGTACATTCAGCTAATTGGCTGGGAGCTCCATAAGGGCCACCTCAGGGATAACTAACAGGCATTCAGACTTGTGAAGAGCTGTAACGGTAATCTCTATCTGCAAGAACCGCATTCAATCAGTGGAGGGAACTTTAAAACAATGTCCTATTTAAGGTACAAGTCAGAGTCCACTTCATGGAGAAAGTAGGCCAACTTAATTCTAGAGGCTCCAAACCTATCAAGGCTGCACATTCAGAAACATGCCTAGCAGAAGTAATGTTGATAAGGAAAACAACCTTGCAAGGGCAGATATCTCTCAGTGGTTTCAAAGGGCAGCTTCTAAAGGCCTGAAAAGACTAAGCTGAGGTCCTGTGGAGTCACTGGAGCACATACGGGGGGATAATGGGCCACCGCCTGCACAAAGGCCTTCACTGAGAAGGGAGGGGTAAGCGGTTTCTGGAAGAGAATCACCAAGACAAATGATCTGACTATTGATGGTACTCAAGGCTAAACAATGGCCCAGGCCAGACTGGAAAAATGCTACCCAAACATTACCATTGCAACTTCCTGGTTACACACCTAGCAAAAAAGCAACACACACCCCCGCCAGCAGTGCGATTGAACGCATGGCAAAACTTTACCAGCTTTCCGTGTAACTGCAAACGCAAAAATAGGGCAAGCCCTATTTGTTTGCAGTGGAACGCAACGCTGGCAAAGTTTTGCCACGCCTTCGATTGCACTGCTGGCAGGTGTGCGTGGAAGCAGTGCCATTGAATACAATGTACCGCCACGCCCCCTACCGCACCAAAACGCAGGGGGAAGATTCACAGCGATCGCGGCGTGTTCCAATAGCTACCGCTCTGCAACGCACACACTTTCGGTGTGAACAAGCCCTTAGCTGGGGATTGGGTTTACATGCTGCGTACAGGATACTGAGGGGCTAATGAACATACTGAATATTAAGTACGAGGTTGATGCTTTTGAAGCAGATCACATACACTGCACACAGTTCACTGAGGGATTAATGGTTATCCAGTGGCAGCTGATCACTGAAAGGTTAACAATGACTGGTCATAGATGGGTTAATGCTCACTGCAGGCAGGTCACCAATGTGTTAATGCGCATGCTCTGCTAGTGTACATCTAGATAGAGAGCTCTAAAGTAAATTTCTCACTGCTGCTTAGTAAATGTAGAGTGTGGCGGGGCAGAGACTGCTGCTGAACTGAGCTTCCTTCTGTGCTGAACCTCTAGACCAGGGGTCTCAAACCTCCGGCCCTCGAGCTGTGGTGGAACTACAAATCCCATGAGGCATTGCAAGATTCTCACAGCCACGACTCCCGGAGTCACATCATGGGATTTGTAGTTTCACCACAGCTGGAGGGCCGGAGGTTTGGGACCCCTGCTCTAGACTGTCTGCGCTCAGTGTGCAACATCTATGGGGAGGACAGTGTTTAATATGCAATTTGTGTGGTGTGGATAAGACTAACAAGAGGGAAAAGAATGTGCATACGCTTGTGTTTGTGGAGGGATCTTACAGGGAAGATTTATCTGGAGGGGTGATGTCACTGGGGATGGACCAGGAAGCGATACACATGCACAGCAGCAAAAAAAACTCATAATGGGAAGGTGAACGGAACACAACTGTGCTGAACAGCCTGAGCTCCTGTTTAGTATTGCCTTGCTATGTAACTGAATTCATACATCAGTACAAGGAATGGCCAACGCTTACCCGTGATAAACCCTTTACATCAAAAAGCAATGAACCGTCGTGACGTTTCAAGGAGACCCCTTTCTTAGGACATGACTGATAAATCTACCCACTGTATCTAATTTATTGTAATAAGACACTGAACATGAATTAACTATTCCCCAATGGACACTTAGTGATGCAGAATATACAGGAGCTTACTGAACCAGAAACAAATTATATCTTATCATTTATTGTATAAAATCAATGCAGATAACATTACAATTGCAAAATGGGTTGCAAAGTTTTATTTTTTTACCTTGAAAGTCAACCACGACGACACTACATGGTTATATTCTAGGACACCATAGTGTGGTCAGTCCCAACACTGGAGACCAATGGAGCACAGCCAAAAAAAAAAAATGCTTTATTTCTGCTGCCAAAAATATGCACATATAGAACATACTAAAAACTTAAAAACTGCCCCAAGACAATACAAATCATTATTTACAATGTGGAAGGCTTGAGACTGAAATCTGATGTCTAGTAAGTACTGTATGGTTTAACATTTTGAACAAAAGCAAATTCAGATAATACAAGAATTCAACATATTAAACCACTGTAATAAGAAACAGCTGATGGAGAAGCATCTTCTAGCACCAGAGAATTTGATGCTTGAAGAAACATGCAGAAAAAAAAAAAATGATATACTTCGTGTATTTACATAGCTTATACTCTTCCCTACCAAACTAATTGGTACAGAAGAGCAAGAAGAAACTCCTGCAAATGATCACACAAGGGGCTTGCCTATGGTTATAGACTTCTCAGGGCTGAGTCCTAATACGAAGTATATCAACCTCCTTCACACTGCGGGCTACTCTGGGGAGCTGGAGCGAGACCTGGAACTGGCAGCAGAGGCTGGGCGTGGAGGAGGAGAAGCTGAACCCCCTCTGCTAGCACAGGCTGCCATTGGGGATTGGGACCTGGATCTGGCATCCACCTTGCCATTTTCTTGCGGGGATGGGGATCTGGAGCGACTGTGGGAAGACCTTTCCCGATTGGTGTTTGAGCGACCTTGGGAGCGACTCCGGGAACGATCATGTTCCCCTTTGGACCGACCTCTGGATCTCTCTCTAGATCCCTCCCTGTCCCCCTTTGATAGACTGCGGGATCTCTCTGTGGATTTTTTCCCCTTAGGACTAAGTGATCCGTCACGTGACCTCTCTCGAGACACATCTCTCTTCCCCTTAGACTGCTCTCTCCTTCCTTTAGAGCGGCTGCGAGAACGCTTGCTCTTGGACCTATCATGCCTTCCTTTAGAGCGGCTCCTAGACCGATCTCGTTTTGTTTTGGGTCGGCTGCTGGATCGGTCACGTTTCCCTTTAGACCTGCTTCGGGACCTCTTACGCTTTCCTTTGGACCTGCTTCGGGACCGAGAACCTTGCTCTGACTTAGGTTTACTCTCCGAACGAGACTTTCGCTGCATTGATGGTGATCTTGAGTTTTCTTTGCTCCTGGACCTGGACCTATAAGAACATGCAGATCATAGTATTACATAAAAGAAATCACAGCAGAAGAAACTTAATAGGTTTCCTTTAATGTCTCCCTACCAAGCAGCTTTCCTTCTTTCCCTCTACTGACACTTTTCAGATAGGGGGGGGGGGAATCCAGAGTAAGCTCGGGGTCAATAGTTTTAGCACATACATAGGGCTGAATATATTCTGCTCTCATGTGACAGCACCGGGACCAACCACCACAGGTTCGTTGTATTTGCTGCAGTTACAGCACCCATAAAAAGGAGTATGTGCTGCTGAGAATTATTTGCAGCCATGAAAGGGCTACAAATCCCTTGTAAAAGTTAAGTCCTTCTATTGCCCGAGTTAAACGCCTGCGCGTAATCCGTATCTGTCCATATATTGATGCATCCATAGCTCAAATACATCCTTTACTTCAGGGCAAGACCAATGCTTAAATAATTTTAAAAGCAGTTTTAAAGTACACTTGCAATAGAAGCATGGGGGCTGCCATTGATTGCCTCCTGAAAATGCTAGTTGCCTGGCTATTAGGAACAAGCAGGGCATAAAATGAGAATTAGGACTATACCTACTCCATGCCAGTGAGCGCAAAAAAACCCCATTGAAGTCAAAGCTTCAGTCAGATAGGCAGGCTTAGACTTTTAAAACAGTGAGAACAGCAATGAAAGCCAACATAGTTCCCAAAACACAGGTGTAGCTTGTGCTAGGAATTTTCGTCTGTAATATAAAAAACACTATAGATGTGAACAGAACCTTACCTGGACTGACTCTTAGCTGGTGTGTGGGAACGGCTGCGTTTTGCTGGAGAACGAGAACTACTTTTCTTAGCGGGAGATCGGGAGCGGCTCTTTTTGGCTGGTGAAAGGGTCCTGCTTCTCTTTGCTGGCGACCGGGACCTGCTCCTCTTGCCAGGTGACCGGGACCTGCTCCCCTTGCCAGGTGACCGGGACCTGCTCCTCTTGCCAGGTGACCGGGACCTGCTCCCCTTGCCAGGTGACCGGGATCTGCTCCTCTTGCCAGGTGACCGCGAATGGGTCTTTTTACTAGGAGACCGAGAAGGACTTCTGGATTGACTGTGGCTACTGTGTCTGCTCCGGCTACGAGATCTTCGCCTGCTCCTGGAACGTGATCTAGGAGAGCAATGTATTAAGAGATCATCATTTGCCTCATGCAAATAAACATTCCCCATACAATATCACAAAAAACATTCTGGGCTTATGCACATACAACTTAAGGTGGACCTGAACTCTAAGTGAAGACTTGATGCATCAGGATGTCAGGGAACGTCTACAAAGTTGCCTAAACAAATTCTTCCTAAAAGAATTGCACTTCCTGTGGCCAAGTACTCCTGTACCTGAAGCCTAAAAGCGGTACATCTGCAGGGGTGTGGAATTCCTATCGCCCGACGCATGGGACATGCAGTTTCGGGCGCCGGGCGAGTAGTTTTTTTGTACACTTAGCTCTGCTTGTCCGGAGCGGGGCTAAGTGTACATAGTGAAGCCGCCGTTCGTTTTCAAGTGATCTGATCACTTGTATGAAACGAGATGCTCGGATTCTGTCCGTCCCCCCCTGCCCGTGGTTTTCGGGGTCCCCCGCTCCGGAACCTGAGCTCACCATAGAGCCTGCAGAGCAGATGAAAAACGTCAGTGTCATCACTGAGACCGTGGGCTGATCACAGCGCCACCTGTCTCAGCTGTCAGGAACTACACAGAACATCTAAAAAAATTAGATTTTTTTTTAAAAGCGACAAAAATAAAACAAAAAGAAAACGAACCCCGCCATCTGCATGCAAATAAACGCACGCATAGGACATTGTGTGTGTGTGTGTGTTGAGTGCTGCCGCCATTTCACTGTGCCATATTGTGGTAGCAAGGCAGCAGAACACTCCCACACGCACAATGTGCATTAAAGGGCAAGTTCACTTTCTGGCCCCATCTCTCCCAAAACCCCCCACCCCCCGGCTATACTTACCTTTCGGCAAACAGTCCTTACCCTCTGCCGGTACAGGTGTACTGTCCTCAACCCGTACTGTCCAGCGCAGTCCTGCCCTATGCATTTTGAATTTCGCTTGCAAATTGCAAGCACTCATTGGTCAGCGTGGTCTGGTGACCACGCAGACCAATAGTTTTGATTAGAGATGCACAGATAGAGTATTTGGGCAAGTACTTGTACTCGCCCAAATGCTCAATACCTTCTCCAATACCAGAACTTTTGGTCAGAGGAAGGTTTCCTCTGACCGGCAGTGCCGTAGGGGTCATGGAGCCAGCTTCCCATGCAATCACGAAGCGGGGCATCGACTAATAACCCGCCTCCCAGTTTCCTGATTGGCCAGGAAGCCAGCTAATTGCTGATTGGCCAGGAAGCCAGCTCCTTGCTGATTGGCTGGGAAGCCAGCTTCCCAGCCAATCAGCATCGAGTCGGCTTCCTGGCCAACAGGTCATTGCTCGCCGCCCGGTTTCCTGATTGGGCAGGAAGCTGGCTCGATGCTCATTGGCCGGGAAACCGGCTTCTCAGCCATTCACAATCAAGCCAGCCAAACATGGGAGTCGGCTTCACTGGCAGTCAGGAAGCTGGGTAGCATCTCATTACCCGCTGCCCGGCTCCCTGATTACCCGGGAAGCCTGCTCCATGCAAAAGGAAGCACCGATACTCGCTGAGTACCGAAAGCAAAATATCGGTACTCTATACCCAAAAACCGGTATTGGTGCATCCCTAGTTTTAATTCAAACTATTTTTTTTGTATTGGGACAAGTAGATTGTTATGAAGGACAAGTAGATTTGGCCCCGGCTTTAGCCCTTGGACAAGTAGTTTTTTCAAAAATGTCCACACCCCTGATCTGTAGTGAGATCATACAAGCCACTGCTGCCTTGGACTAAAAGTCTCGAGATTTGCAGTGCAATTTGGTGACATTACTACTGTGCTGCTCACTGGTGGTCTTGGAGAGGAAGCTGTACCTGAGGACCTGCAGTGCAAAGATCTCACTACATTTGCTTTATCTGGTTTCTGTGGCACATTTCTGAATCTCCAGCTGCTACTTAAACACTCCCCTGCCAGTTTGCAGTCATGTGGTGCAACAGGGACATGAGGAAGCAAAGTCCTGTCTCTACCAAGTTGGCAAACTTTACAGTGTGAAAGAGGGCCTGGTAAGAGTAATCCCGAAAGTTGAGCTGCAGGGCATCTACAGGCAATGCTGATGACCAGTCCTTATATTCTTAGGAAAAATGTCCACAATGCAGGCCCAAATCTAACCCAGATCTGCCACTACTGAAATATCACTTGGCCACAAACTATGAAGTTTTCCATCTTTATTTGCAAAGACATTTTCAAGGCGTTAGTCAGGTGACTCTAAGGTTATTAGCAGAGAGGAGCTAGCTTTGCTCAAAGACTGGAGTTATAAGATAATGTAGAAAGAAATGTCAGGTCAGACTCATGAATCGAAAACTTTCAGGATATACAATATGCTAAAAAACTGCACCACTTATTAAAACCAACAGGATATCTGAAAAACAATTAATAATTTAACCACTTTCAGCGGGTTCACGTAAATAAATGTCCTCCACTGGAAGTGGTTATACCAAGATCATGGCTGCTGCAGCCATGTTCTTAGTACCGATTTAAAAAGCCGGCGATTGCTGTTTAAAATACAAGCGATTCGGCGTCTGTGCAGGCACCGGATTACTTGTACACTATCAGACCCCACTACCCCATTACTTGTACCACTATCAGATCAATGGACTCGGAAGAGATGTGCATTACATCCCTTCCGGTGTCCCTGTACACATTCTCTGGCTCCTAGAGCCAGAAGAGGCTGGTGAAGATGATCTTTGCTTTATCAGCTTCCCCGGGGTCCCTAGGTGACATTAGGGGCCTGAAAGACCTCCAATGTCTCCATAAAGAGGACCTGTTACATTATATTTGCCATTACCTAGGGGGCTTGTTATCCCCCTATGTGATAGTAATAAAGTTGTGTGTAGTTAAAAAAAAAACTAAAAAATTAAAAATGCAACAAATTTCTTTTAAGTCACTCACCCCCCACGTGCACACACATACAACACAAACACGCGTCGGATGCGCCTACGTGCAAAAGCGAAAATTGCGCCACACATCGTCGTGAGCGTCAGAGAGCAATAATTCTAGGCCCATTAATCACTTTTAACACTAAACTGATGAGCAGAAAGGGGGTTTAAAGTGTCGCCTATGGGAAATTTTGGTTATTGTAGTTTTTTGCGGTTTCACGGACACACGCAATTCTAAGGCTTGAGATGTTTGGTATCTATTTAAACGGCGTGACCACGCCGCCTCTTATATTTAACCCAAAAAATTGGGTAATGTTTATGTGCACTAAATGTCATTTTAGTGTATTTTATCTTAATACTGGTTTGATAAACATTTGTGCAAATACTGTGCGACATACAAAATTGCAACTAGCATCTTATTCTACAGGGCCTCTGCTTTCAGAAAATAGATCATTGTTGGGGTTCTGAAGCTGTCTTCCTGCCAAAAATTCTGATTTTATCATGTGTGCAATTTGCTCCGGGCAGCAAGTGGTTAACGTCCCAACAGGTAACTAAAACATGCATACACAACCCAGTTCTCCTTGTATGCCATCAGAATACACAACCCAGTTCTCCTTGTATGCCATCAGAATACACAACCCAGTTCTCCTTGTATGCCATCAGAAAACACAATACAGCATCATGTGCACTATACAATCTATATTAAATCTAGTTCTGGAGCTCACCTTGACCTGCTGCCAGAGTAAGACCTTCTGTGACGTGCTTTGCTTTCCACTAGACGAATTTTCCTGCCGTTAATTTCAGTGCCATCAAGTTTATCCAAAGCTCTCTTCATGTCAGAGTGAGATCTGAACTCTATCACTCCCTCATTGGTACGTTCCTTGTGGGCATCAGCATATGTAACCTCACCGGCTTGCCTCATGAAATCCTGAAAGGAAAGAGCCAAGGTCACGCTTCGGCATGAAAAGCAGAAATACTGACAAACCAAAAATTCAGGCATTTTAACAGTGCATCTTAGCCCAAGACTATATCAAAGAACACTGGGCAAAATGTGTATTAACCCTTGCAGTGGGGCTACCCCATGCACTGCAAGGGTTAACTGCTCATTTTGGTCTAGGGAGGAAAATAAAGTTACACTGAGCAGATCCTCAGAGCCACATCTTAAGACTTTCTTCCAGTGTCTCTCCACCTCCACTGCAGTGGTCCCTGAATCAGCATGTTCTCTACAGTGTATAAGATGTGAGGACACCAAGGTACATATCACTGCACGGAGGGAGCGCTGCCACGGTCGCCTTGGAGGAACGGGTGAGTAACCTTTTTTTTTATAGACCAAACCGAGCATTTAACCCTTGGTGTGGGGGTAGCCCCACTGCAAGGGTTAATAAAAAGTTTGCCCGGAGTTCTTTAATTTTATGTAGAGTTAGAACATTGTCAGTTTTTCATTGCAAGTGTTAGAGATTTTCCTTTACTGTCTAGATGACCTCAAGTTACACATTTAGAAGCCATAACAATCGTAATACAGGTAGAGAAGGCAAACGTATCAAAGTGATACTTTTCAATGGCTCATTACTCAAAAAAAGCCAAGTTCTCATCCAATCAAGGACTCTTATACACAAGAGCTGCTTTTCACAACCACAATCTACATCTGCTGCTCAGATGGTAAGAAATAAAGAGTGCCCTACTAACCACTAACACAGGTTGCTGACAATATTTAACTTCCTTCTCTACCTGTGTTCACTTTCCAGGCTGACAGAATAGATCCTTTGCTTTTCACCTACGTATAAGATGGTGCAGTTCCTTTAGCTTACTCAAAATTATCCTGCAACACATCAATGGTCAATAGTTACGGCGTTCTGTCGAAATGGCCAACTCGTCGAGATCTCAAACTCGTAACTTCACATCCTTTGGGAGATTTTGACGAGCTGGCACTAGTGCGCCAACCTTGGCATTTTTCCAAGACTCGTCAACTTGCCCAATTGCCCTAAGTGCACCTATGAGACCTCTCAATCCTCATCGAGCTCTCCAACTGGCATCACTGCTTGTGCCATCGAAATGTCCAGGCAGGCACACTAACGCAAATGAGAATGTGATACTGCTCTTAAGGGGCAGCGCAGGCGCACTGACGGGAGTTGGAGATCGACAAGTTGGACATCTCGTTATAACAACGGCACGATGGAGAATGTAACCAAAATATGTAACAATATAACCATAGCAGCATCAAAGCTCATTTATAAATGGATTATGCTAGCAGTGGATCTCTATTGCTTCCTATAACCGCAATACTAACCTTAAGATCTTGCCAGCTGCAGCGGCTGGAGAGATTCTCCACGATAAGTCTAAACTCCGTGCGCACGGGAGGTCCATATTTATCTCTGCCGGATCTCTGGCTCCTGTAACCACCTTTATTGCACATGGAAAGCAAAGTCAGGTCTCCATTGAATATGTACAGTACAACAAACTAAATCTTTTTTGGGAGGGCTTTAATTAAAACTAGAAAGAATAGGATTCTTTACATAAAAACCTCCTTTGAAGCCGTGACTTTGGCCAATAAGCAGAAGAGACGTTTACTCACTCTGTTCTGCTGTGTTATGAGACTGCTTAGGGGGTGCTCTCAACGAACCTTATCAACAAGGACATAAAACTTTATGACATAACAAAATTTAAATCATTTACATGCATGTTCTACAAAAGCATTTACAAGAGTTGCCAGTCACATTATTTACATTAAAGGCAGGAGGTACAAGAAAAAGTGGCACTTGGAAGCACACGCAAGGGAGTCACCTAATCCAGTTTAAAGCCGTTTGGTCTAACCCTTTTAATCCTCACCATCACCCTGCGTCTAATGGCAAAAGGCTGCTGTCGTCATGGCTTCCGGTAAGGTCAGCCAAAGGGTCATAGGGCAAGGGTCACACAATGTTTGGAAAGGCCAACCAGGAAAGGCAGTCATCTTAAGCCTCAATGGTCTCAGCCCCCACTGGTCTCTTTCAAATTGAAACATCAAGGACGGTTAAAAAAGGATTTTGGAATTCGACATGCAAAAAGGTTAAGAATACAAGTTAAACATAACAATCATAATACACAAGCTGTTTGCATACAACTCTACTTCCAGCATAAAAACCAAATCATAACTACTGCCCAGCCCACACCCACCTCTTTAAAACCAATATAAACCTGTGCTGCCGAAGGCATAAACACACCGCCGACACCACAGGATTAATGACTTCACACATTTTTGAAGAGACACTCACTTTGCAAAGCATGGACAGACAGTGTCTGCTGCCAGCCCCACCCCAGCAGTTTGAATGCTCCCACACCACCGGCGTTCTGGACACCAGTTTAGACAAGTGGGGACCCTGCAGCGGGGAGGTACTAAGGGAGCCCGGGGGTGCTCTCTGCAAACACTGTTCTTTTGCCCTGATTTGGCAAGTGGCACTGTCTCTAGAATACACCCAAAGCATTTTTTTTACATTTTGGATAGAGCGGTGAGGATTTAGAAGCAGGTTTTTATTGCAGTCTGTCCCCTCAAGAATATTTAAACCGGACATAGACCGTCAGATTTTTATCATTCAGCCGCACTGAAAATCACTTGCTAAAGAACGTGGGAGGAATGCCTGTTAGAATACTTGAACAGTGACTGCTGATTGGCTAAAGCCACTGTACAAGTGACAATTTTGCACCCGGCTTTTGACAGGTTGATTTTGTTGAGCTGAAATTTGGGTAAGGCCATCACCAGGAGAAGGGTAAATCCACAATATGAAGTTGTCATGAGATCAGGTGGTGAAGACATTTCCTTTCACTTCCTGCGAGTCTACAGGACAGACAGTGAAAGGAAATCTCCCCTATTGGGAGACAGATGGCATCAAAGATGAACAAGTATTTAAAAATTCTCTATCGAAAATGTAAAAAAATGTTTTGGCTTTAGAGATACTTTAATATTTACCATTGAAGAGTACATAATAAAAAGCAGCACATCCAAGTGGGAACATTTAGACAGAAACATGTCTAATCAGCTACCACTGAAGCTGTGCTGTAACATTCTGCATCTTAAATACAACAATAACCACAGGCAATAATGCAGACTACTGGATGAGTGTTCACTCAAAACGGAAGTACACGCCATCCAATTAATCTACAATGACAAAAACAGTGCAAGTCAGTCAGGTGGAGCAAACTGCATTTTTTCTTCATAGCATTAGAAAAAGCAGAGCAATGTTGACTTCTATCCATACTACATTCATATACAATTCATCTAGGATATGAGCTGCTAAATTCTACAAAACTGCTTGGCTTTAGTACAGTATTCAATGCCATATCAAAAGGTAAACAGCACAACAGCCTGTCTGACTATAGATGCAAAATAAAGCTATACGTAGCCCTCTGAATACAGAAAAATATAAAACCTGTCATTTATCAGTTTCCAATGTGCTGTCACCTAGTATCTACTTACAGAAATAAAATAATTTTTTTAAAAATCACACGTTATTAGCAGATGATTACTTGAATTACTATGTGAAGCTAAAGGTCCCCTTCTACTTAAGGATCTGACTTTCTAGATTGGATTTCTGGCAAAGCAAAGGTTTTAACACCTGCTCATGATCCAATAGTTCTTCATACCCCCCAAAAGCTGCTGCCAAGATAGGTAATGCTTACTGCGATTTCCAAAGCTACTGTATCCTTCCCTGTCACGTCGAGGTCCTCTGGCATGCTCCACAATCACACGCTCTCCACACAGGTCTTTCCCATTTACGTGACCACGCCGCCTCTTATATTTAACCCAAAAAATTGGGTAATGTTTATGTGCACTAAATGTCATTTTAGTGTATTTTATCTTAATACTGGTTTGATAAACATTTGTGCAAATACTGTGCGACATACAAAATTGCAACTAGCATCTTATTCTACAGGGCCTCTGCTTTCAGAAAATAGATCATTGTTGGGGTTCTGAAGCTGTCTTCCTGCCAAAAATTCTGATTTTATCATGTGTGCAATTTGCTCCGGGCAGCAAGTGGTTAACGTCCCAACAGGTAACTAAAACATGCATACACAACCCAGTTCTCCTTGTATGCCATCAGAATACACAACCCAGTTCTCCTTGTATGCCATCAGAATACACAACCCAGTTCTCCTTGTATGCCATCAGAAAACACAATACAGCATCATGTGCACTATACAATCTATATTAAATCTAGTTCTGGAGCTCACCTTGACCTGCTGCCAGAGTAAGACCTTCTGTGACGTGCTTTGCTTTCCACTAGACGAATTTTCCTGCCGTTAATTTCAGTGCCATCAAGTTTATCCAAAGCTCTCTTCATGTCAGAGTGAGATCTGAACTCTATCACTCCCTCATTGGTACGTTCCTTGTGGGCATCAGCATATGTAACCTCACCGGCTTGCCTCATGAAATCCTGAAAGGAAAGAGCCAAGGTCACGCTTCGGCATGAAAAGCAGAAATACTGACAAACCAAAAATTCAGGCATTTTAACAGTGCATCTTAGCCCAAGACTATATCAAAGAACACTGGGCAAAATGTGTATTAACCCTTGCAGTGGGGCTACCCCATGCACTGCAAGGGTTAACTGCTCATTTTGGTCTAGGGAGGAAAATAAAGTTACACTGAGCAGATCCTCAGAGCCACATCTTAAGACTTTCTTCCAGTGTCTCTCCACCTCCACTGCAGTGGTCCCTGAATCAGCATGTTCTCTACAGTGTATAAGATGTGAGGACACCAAGGTACATATCACTGCACGGAGGGAGCGCTGCCACGGTCGCCTTGGAGGAACGGGTGAGTAACCTTTTTTTTTATAGACCAAACCGAGCATTTAACCCTTGGTGTGGGGGTAGCCCCACTGCAAGGGTTAATAAAAAGTTTGCCCGGAGTTCTTTAATTTTATGTAGAGTTAGAACATTGTCAGTTTTTCATTGCAAGTGTTAGAGATTTTCCTTTACTGTCTAGATGACCTCAAGTTACACATTTAGAAGCCATAACAATCGTAATACAGGTAGAGAAGGCAAACGTATCAAAGTGATACTTTTCAATGGCTCATTACTCAAAAAAAGCCAAGTTCTCATCCAATCAAGGACTCTTATACACAAGAGCTGCTTTTCACAACCACAATCTACATCTGCTGCTCAGATGGTAAGAAATAAAGAGTGCCCTACTAACCACTAACACAGGTTGCTGACAATATTTAACTTCCTTCTCTACCTGTGTTCACTTTCCAGGCTGACAGAATAGATCCTTTGCTTTTCACCTACGTATAAGATGGTGCAGTTCCTTTAGCTTACTCAAAATTATCCTGCAACACATCAATGGTCAATAGTTACGGCGTTCTGTCGAAATGGCCAACTCGTCGAGATCTCAAACTCGTAACTTCACATCCTTTGGGAGATTTTGACGAGCTGGCACTAGTGCGCCAACCTTGGCATTTTTCCAAGACTCGTCAACTTGCCCAATTGCCCTAAGTGCACCTATGAGACCTCTCAATCCTCATCGAGCTCTCCAACTGGCATCACTGCTTGTGCCATCGAAATGTCCAGGCAGGCACACTAACGCAAATGAGAATGTGATACTGCTCTTAAGGGGCAGCGCAGGCGCACTGACGGGAGTTGGAGATCGACAAGTTGGACATCTCGTTATAACAACGGCACGATGGAGAATGTAACCAAAATATGTAACAATATAACCATAGCAGCATCAAAGCTCATTTATAAATGGATTATGCTAGCAGTGGATCTCTATTGCTTCCTATAACCGCAATACTAACCTTAAGATCTTGCCAGCTGCAGCGGCTGGAGAGATTCTCCACGATAAGTCTAAACTCCGTGCGCACGGGAGGTCCATATTTATCTCTGCCGGATCTCTGGCTCCTGTAACCACCTTTATTGCACATGGAAAGCAAAGTCAGGTCTCCATTGAATATGTACAGTACAACAAACTAAATCTTTTTTGGGAGGGCTTTAATTAAAACTAGAAAGAATAGGATTCTTTACATAAAAACCTCCTTTGAAGCCGTGACTTTGGCCAATAAGCAGAAGAGACGTTTACTCACTCTGTTCTGCTGTGTTATGAGACTGCTTAGGGGGTGCTCTCAACGAACCTTATCAACAAGGACATAAAACTTTATGACATAACAAAATTTAAATCATTTACATGCATGTTCTACAAAAGCATTTACAAGAGTTGCCAGTCACATTATTTACATTAAAGGCAGGAGGTACAAGAAAAAGTGGCACTTGGAAGCACACGCAAGGGAGTCACCTAATCCAGTTTAAAGCCGTTTGGTCTAACCCTTTTAATCCTCACCATCACCCTGCGTCTAATGGCAAAAGGCTGCTGTCGTCATGGCTTCCGGTAAGGTCAGCCAAAGGGTCATAGGGCAAGGGTCACACAATGTTTGGAAAGGCCAACCAGGAAAGGCAGTCATCTTAAGCCTCAATGGTCTCAGCCCCCACTGGTCTCTTTCAAATTGAAACATCAAGGACGGTTAAAAAAGGATTTTGGAATTCGACATGCAAAAAGGTTAAGAATACAAGTTAAACATAACAATCATAATACACAAGCTGTTTGCATACAACTCTACTTCCAGCATAAAAACCAAATCATAACTACTGCCCAGCCCACACCCACCTCTTTAAAACCAATATAAACCTGTGCTGCCGAAGGCATAAACACACCGCCGACACCACAGGATTAATGACTTCACACATTTTTGAAGAGACACTCACTTTGCAAAGCATGGACAGACAGTGTCTGCTGCCAGCCCCACCCCAGCAGTTTGAATGCTCCCACACCACCGGCGTTCTGGACACCAGTTTAGACAAGTGGGGACCCTGCAGCGGGGAGGTACTAAGGGAGCCCGGGGGTGCTCTCTGCAAACACTGTTCTTTTGCCCTGATTTGGCAAGTGGCACTGTCTCTAGAATACACCCAAAGCATTTTTTTTACATTTTGGATAGAGCGGTGAGGATTTAGAAGCAGGTTTTTATTGCAGTCTGTCCCCTCAAGAATATTTAAACCGGACATAGACCGTCAGATTTTTATCATTCAGCCGCACTGAAAATCACTTGCTAAAGAACGTGGGAGGAATGCCTGTTAGAATACTTGAACAGTGACTGCTGATTGGCTAAAGCCA